CATCTTAAAACGCAAAGATATGGGCAATTCGGTCATAATTGCAGAAAAAACAACAAACAAGGGTAGTTTGTTCATAAAATCAAAAGACTTACTTTTTTCGTTACTTTCCTCATTCAAAGGAAAAACCCACGTACTTTTTAATGGATTTGGTCATAATATATAAACTTCAATTCTACTCCGTGCAACCAATTCCCTGAGTTCTATAGGTGTTGCCTTTGATGGTATGGATGGATTGAGTCGTATAAGTTGAAACAACCGTTTTACCTTTTTATGGATACCTACAAATATAGAATATAATCAATAAATGGCAAGCTACATTCTTATGTGATTGAATCAATGTTGGTGGTAAAGCAATAAATCGTGCAACAATTGTTGGAGCTGCTAAACCTATTGAAAATATAAGTAAAATAAAATTTTACATGACACAATATACAGATAACAATAATTTTCTAATAGATTAATTTTGTTTTTGAGATATACTACAACTATACCAGCAATAATCACTATTAAAGGTAACCGGTTTAAACAACTCCAAAATCGTCAAAAACTAATAGTCTAATGACTAAATGAATAAAAAAATATTAGTGTAGCGGCTTAATTAGTAACTAAAATTTTAAGACGATAAATAAAGTAGAATGGTAAAAATAAGTTAGTTTTATTTTATTTTATTTTATTTTATTTTTTTAATTTCTATAACATCAAAACAGGCCAATTAAGCCAATTTTGAGACAGTAAAAAAAACTATAATGATTTGATAACTAAATAAAACAGGTAAATGACAAAATCGATAAGATAACGAAAGTAAATGTTTTTTTTTGTATTTCCCCAAAAATGTAACAATACTACTATTGAAGTTCCATTTTGATTACTATAAATTAGAAGATAGAAGGTAATATGTTTTCAAAAGCATACCTTTAAACCCCTAACTTCAACTTCTCCCTATTTGAGATTTCTATCATCAATCTTTAAGACATATAAAAGTGTTGGATGTTAATTTAATAAAAATAAATAAAGCTAAATTTACTGTGAATCTAGTTTTTGATGGAAGTACATATAAAAGATGGGCAAGGGTAATCTTGTCATTTGGCTTTAGCAAACCATTTTGGCAATGTGAATAAAGTTTTCATGCCTAGCCTTGTAAAGAATAGAACATATAAAAGACGTAATAGGAAACTTTTCGAAATCTGTATTTTTTTTTTTAAAAAAAATTAATACTACCATTATAATTTTACTTCGATCTAAAATTTAATTAAGTTATTATAATATGTTCATTTGTAACTTTTTTAAAATAATAAACAATAAAACCTTTTCTTTAATATAATAAATAAAAAAGTCACCATTGAGTTCCATTTCTTTTGTCGCTCTTTGGAGGTCTCAAATATCACCTGCATTACCACCACATATGATAAGTAAATCTTACATAAATCAAAAACAAAATCTTACATAAATTGCTTCAAATGTAATAATAAGCAAATCTATTAAAAATCAGAATCAAGACACGGATATTGAAAATCAGAATCAAGACCGGACGAATGAATTTCATGGACTTGCAATCCATTGTTTTAAGTTAAGCTTAAGACACGGATATTGAAAAAATCAAATATCTTGGAACAGAGAAGGTAAGAGTGTGATCCATAACGGAGGTGTAACCTGTTGGAAGCCACAAAGAAGCATATTTTCCATAAAAACTTCAAAACCTGCATAGTATAATAAATGCTTAATCATTAATAAGCTGAGACACTTAACAGAGAGCTAATCTTTGGCTGAAAATCTTACTCGGTTTTAGGGGCTACAACATTGCAATAACATCTTTTGGCTGCTAACACCTCCAACAATTGGAAAATGATTCTCTTGATTGAAATGTAGTGTACTTGAAGTGCTATCAGACCTGTTTAAAAAAATCAGTTTAATAATGTTTAAATAAGATTAAAAAACGGGTTCTGTGCAGAAATACTCCATAGTCAATTTAAAAAAGGTCCCTATGGCAAAAAAATTACCATGAATTTCCAGTTTTACCCTTGACAACGTATATGTTGCTAATCAACCGACAAAAGAAAGCACAAAATTACTTATCACAAAGCAGAACTTCAACGAAGATGGTGGAGAACTCAGTGTCGGAGTTGGTCATGATGCATTTCATGTCACCCAACTCCACAACTGGCCACCACCTGTAGTGACGGTTGTAAAAAAATCACCACATGTAACAAAAATAACGGGAACACGAGGTCAAATTCGTCCAATTTAAACCCTAATTTCAAGGAAATTGGAGTTATCTAATAACATCATTCTATAATTTCAACTTTATGTGTTACCTTCAGTTCACGGATGAATTTGTGCTTTCCGAGAAGAACATACAGGTGAAGTAGGGATGAGATTTAGAACCGGAAAACCGGACCAGAACCGGAATCGGACCGGAACCGGAACCATTAGAACTGGAATATGTAAAACCGATCAGGGTCTTGGGTTTAAAGAATGGCTCTATCCGGGTTCCGGGTATTTCGGGTCCGGGTAAAGCGGGTTTAAGAACCAGAACCGGTTTTAGGGGCCGGAATCGGTTTCTATGGAAAGTTTAAAACATGCATATCTCATTCGTTTGAAGTCGAATTGGCATGAGGTTTTTTCCATAGTATAGTTTATAGTTTTTACATGATTTTAGACTATAATTTTGTCATTTTTGGGTTTATATTCATTCACTTATAGTCTCTCAAAGTCAGGATATCAAAGCTGGATTTTTTTTTTTTTTTGTATTTTGTATTTTGTGATAGTTTTAAAACATGCATATCTCATTCGTTTAAAATCGGATTGACATGCGGTTGTTTCCATAGTATAGTTTATAGTTTGTACATGATTTTAGACTATAATTTTGTCATTTTTGGGTTTATATTCATTGACTTATAGTGTCTAAATGTTTGGATATCAAAGCTAGAAATTTTATGTTTTTCAACTTTTTTTCTTTTTTTTATATTCAATAATAGTTTTAAAATATACATATCTCATTCGTTTGAAGTCGGATTGGCATGAGGTTTTTTCCAGAGTATATTTTATAGTTTGTACATGATTTTAGACTATAATTTTGTTATTTTTGGGTGTTTATTCATTGAATTATAGTATCTCAAAGTCGTGATATCAAAGTTGAAAATTTTATGTTTTCAGCTTTCTTTTTATTTCGTGATAGATTTAAAACACACATATTTGATTCTTTTGACGTCGGAATAGCATGCGGTTTTTTCCAAAGTGTAGTATAGAGTTTGTACATGATTTAAGACTATAATTTTGTCATTTTTGGTTTCATATTCATTGATTTATAGTCTCCCAAAGTTGGGATATCAAAGTTGCGATTTTTTTCTCAGCTTTGTTTTTATATTTTGTGAAATTTTAAAACATGCATTCAACCCACTTTATCAGGGTTCCCCGGGTTTTTTGGTTTTAGACCCACTTTACCTGGTTTCATTCGACCCACTTTGATATTTCTGGGTTTTCCGGTTCTAGACCTACTCTACCCGGTACCTTACCCGGAACCGAATCGGAACCGGTTCCTATATACCGGTCCTGTTTCCGGTTCTAAAAAATCTCGTTAACCGGTTCCCGGGTTTTTCGAGTCCGGGTCTACCGGTCCGGGTTTGGACCCATTCTCATCCCTAGGGTGAAGTATAGCAGTTGTCGGCGGTTGATTGGAACCTATCTTCGATATCTCCTTTGTTTCGAACTGGGTCACAAAAGAAGCCGGCATAGCAGGTTGGTTGGAGGGCTTCGAGGGTGAGGTTTTGTGGGTGTAATGAAATCTGTGAACAACTATTAGGGGGTCGAGAAGGCAGAAGTATACGAAGCACGAAAAATGAATAGTGATTGAAAGAGGAAAAGGGGGTAGCAGCACCTCAGATGTTTCTTAAAACCAGAATCGAGCCCTAATCTGACAAGAACTGAAGCAGAAGTAGCGATGGCGGTGCTCAATCGCTTCTTACAAACTCTCGGAATGACAGATGGTGGTAGCGGTGCCGATCGATGCTTTTCAGGAACATCGACATGTTGAAGAAGCTGGAGGTGGCAGAATCGAGCCCTAATCTGGCACGAACTGAAGCAGACGTGGTGATGGCGGTGTTCAATCGCTTCTTACAAACTCTCGGAACGACAGATGGTGGTAGCGGCGCTGAGGGATGCTTTTCAGGAACATCGACATGCTCAAGAAGTTGGAGGTGACTCATCCCACCAAAGGTTAGTGGAGTTTCGATCATGTGTGGTTGATGGTGAGCAAAGTATGAATCATATATATGAGAAGAGTCCATAACATATCAATCTGATGCATGATCGTCAACACGTGTAGACGCAACACAGTGGGAGAAGATAAAGATGCGGTAGATTGCTAACAGGTATAGACAAAGAATATACGTAATGTCAAATATGCCCTAAATCGAAATAGTGACCATTTTTGCCAAAAACTTGGCCAGTTCACTATTCATGTTGGTGAACAAATTTAATATATAATAATAATAATAATAATAATAATAATAATAATAATATAGGATAACATTTCTTTTATATTCTATTCTAATAAAGGAATCTATTTTTTATGATTTTTTATTTAATTTATTAAATATCATTTTATGGTTATTTTAAATTTTATAGAAACAACGCAGATAATACAATAAATTCAATGGCTGAAACTCATTTCGAGTTAAATACAACCAACCTGTAATTGTCCACCCATGAAAATAACCCGATGGGGCCTGTAATGTTTGATAGCCCAAATCCATATCATTGATTAAAGATTTGGCCCTTTTAGGTAGTTCTGGGCCTTTCCTTAAATTGATCACCAATTCTTTTGATAATCTAAGGGGCTGTTTGTTTAAGAGGTAACCTCTTAATTGGGTGTTTGATAGCATCTTATTTATGCCACTTAAATTAAAAAACACATGTTAATTTCTCAGACATGTGATTACATCTGGAAAAAAATAAGGGAATGCGTGTTTCCTGTTTTGCCCACAACGTCACAACCTCTTTTTCCCCTCCCAACCATCAACGATGCCTCTCCTCCACTCCACACTGCTACAACTCCGATCCCCTCTCCTACCGTCGCCGTCGGATTCGCCTGTGGTGCCTTCGTCTCCTGCTCCAGCTGCATCGCCTCCGGTATCATCTCCGGGTTTTCCCTTGATATTTCAGTGCCACTTTCCCTCTTCTCTTTCAATACACACAACGTTCCCTCACCAACTCCATCTTCGGAACCAGCCGGCCGGATCTTTCGCGAGTGCCGTCATCGCCGAAGCCTTCCAGGTCCCTCATCGACAACTCAACTTTTGGTAAAGTTATTTTTCCCCTAAAACTCAATTATTCTGTTTCAATCCCAATCCCAAACAACATTCAAGCACGATGGTGAAAGTAAGCATTTTGTGTCGCTCTCTCCATCAATTTTTTGGCTTGAGTTTGTCGATCCTACCCCTTGTGTTGTTGCCCCTGTTCATCAGAGTGATTGCTACTTGTTAGGTTATATTTCAATTTTGATCTGATGTGGTCTATATGTGTTCATTCGAACATACAGTGAATGGTTTTACTTGATTGAACATACTTGTTTGATTGGAGTCGAACGCAATTGAGTCAATTGTGTTCATCGGAGTCAAACATAAAAAGTCAAAACTGAATTCTTATTTGTTGATTAAGTGAATTTCAATTCTAGTTTTGTTCATGTTGATAGCGAATGGCTCGATATTGAGATTGGGAAGTCAGGTTTGATACCTGGATAGCGAAGATGACACAGTCGATTGGAATGATTGGAAACTATTGGCTAGTAATTATAATGAAATATTAGGTTGTTTAGTTTTCATTGTATTTTTTTTGTAATATTGGGTGTAATATTTAGCATCCTACTTCCATGGATTTTTTTTTCAAAGATATGATGTTGTAATTGAAAGAAATGATACAAAAGGGTAAAATTGTCATTTTTATCATTCAACACCAAAATTTAGAGGTTCAAACCAAACAACATATTAAAAATTTAGATCTTAAAAATTCAGACCTTCTTAGAAATTCAGACCTTTTAAAAATTCAGATCTTAAAAATTCAGATCCTGCCAAACAACCCCTAAGATCATCTCACAAAAGGAAAAGATCGCAACGATCACCTTCTTCTCGGTCAAAATCAATTCCTCCATTCCCACCCTCAACTACGGAATTCGATCAACAAGATCCTCTTTCAGATCCTCCTGAAACTAATTGTAATTCATATTTTACAACCAAAACCACTAATCAATTTTCTGCTAAGGAATATGAGGTCACGATAACAATTGGAAACCTGATTGGATTCAACATTGACGCAAAGAACCCAATGCTTAGGGCAATTCATGGCAATTCCGGCGAGAAGGTTGGTTTACAATGAATTTTTTTATCCATTAATGTTAGGGGAATCGGAGAAGACTACAAAGTTCAGTGGGTTAAGAGGCTTCGTTCACAACATAGAATTTCTTTCTTGGCTATTCAAGAAACTCAAATTCTCGATGCTAAACATATTGATGTATCATTGTGTTGGGGCTCTGGTGATGTCGAATCTATTCGGATAAATACTACAAGAAGATAATAGGGTGTTTACTCAGCTGGAATAAATTACAAACCCACACTTCATTGTTACGATGGGGTATTGGGTTGGAGTATAGGAACCAAATCTCTTTGCAAACATTTACAGTCCGCAGTCTGATTCGGAAAAGGTAACCTTGTGGGAAGAGCTATTGATTTTAAAACAGAACATAGGAGGGATCTGGGTATGTGATGGGAGATTTTAATGTAGTTCGTAGACTTGATGAATGGTTCAATTAGGATTTTTGTGCAAGATCGGCGGGAGATTTCAATAAATTTATTCATGAAAATGGTCTCGGTTGACATAAAGATGGGTGGGCATCACTTTACTTATTTCGACAATAGTGATCTCAAATTAAGCAAGTTGGACCGCTTTCTTGTTTGTCCCAAGTTCATTGACCTCACACAATCCGTGACAGTCACAACTCTATCCAGGGAGATATTTGATTACTGCCCTATTCTTCTTTCTACTTCATGGTGCGATTTTGGGCCTCCTCCGTTCAAAATGATTAACTCTTGGCTCTCGAGAGATGGGTTCGAGAAGGTTTTCATTACTGCCGGGAAGAACTTCATTGGATACGGAACTCCAGACTTATATATGAATGCTAAATTGAAATGCATTAAAGTGGCGATTCACATGTGGCGAAGGGCTGATCATTCCAAGGAAGAAGTGGAATTAAAGAGAATAAAAGAAGTTGTTCATAAACTGGACATGGAGGCTGAGAGTAGGCTACTTTCAGATGAAGAACTTGAAACTCGGAGGGTGAGTTACAAGGACATAATTAAAATGGAAAAGATGGGGGTGGTGGACGCAAAACATAAATCAAAGATACGGTGGGCGGTAGATGGGGATGAGAACTCCAAACCATTTCATGGGTTCATCAACAACAATAACATGAGAAATCACATAAATGGCCTCATGATTAATGGTAATTGGTGCACTGATCTTGTAATTATTAAATCGGAGGTCTTAAAATTCTTTCAATCCAAGTTCCATGAAGAGTGGCCTATCAGACCCGCTTTCTAGAGTAACCTTTTTCGAAAAATTACTGACCATGAAAACTTGGCCTTAGAGGCCCCCATATCACTCCAGGAAATCAAAAATGCGATTTGGGCATGTGGGAATGACATACGTTCAAGTTCATAAAGAAATACTAGGAAGTTCTACTAGGGGATATCGCATCGGTGGTGAAGTCTTTTGAACGACACGGAAAAATCGATCCTTCTTGTAATTCATCCTTTATATCTATGTTTCCTAAAACTAAAGACCCGCAACAGTTAAAGGATTACCGCACTATAAGCTTGATTGGGTGTATATACAAGATCATCGCAAAGATTCTTGCGGTTAGACTAAAACTCGTTATGAGACAATGCATTGATGAGGTACAAACAACCTATGTAGCGGGGTGAAATATCCTTGATGGTCCACTTTAAGTGAACGAAATATGTGTTTGGTCGAAAAAGGTTAAAAAAAGATTCTACTTTTAAAAGTATATTTTGATAAAGCATTCGATTCTGTAAATTGGGGGGGGGGGGGGGGGGGGGTTAAATAATAATCTAACTCAAATGGGGTTTGGCAATAAATGGTGGGGATGGATCAAAGGCTGTTTAACTTCCTCAAAAGCATCGGTCCTGATTAATTGAACTCCTACAAACGAGTTTACACCTTTAAACGGAGTCCGCCAAGGGGATCCTTTGTCCCCATTTCTTTTTATCACAATAATGGAAGGATTAAGCGTTGCAATGAAAGAAGCGTGCGTGAATGGAGTTTTTCATGGGTTATAATTACCGAATGGAGGCCTAAACATCTCACACTTGCTATATGCCAATGATGCTTTATTCGTCGGAGAATGGACTGAGCAGTATATCAAGAATCTTGCTAGAATTTTAAGATGCTTTCATGCATCTTCGGGTCAAAAAGTCAATTTCAATAAATCTAGAGTCTTCGGAGTGGGAGCAAATTCGGATTAAGTAACTCGTTGGGCGTCTCCTCTGGGTTGCGAACCATCAACTCTTCCATTCAACTATCTCGGGGTACCAGTGTGTAGGGATGAGATTTAGAACCGGAAAACCGGACCGGAACCGGAACCGGAACCGTTAGAACCGGAATATGTAAAACCGGTCCGGGTCCCTGGTTTGAAGAATGGCTCTATCCGGCTTCCGGGTAATCCGGGTTTTGGGTCCTTCGGGTCCGGGTAAAGCGGGTTTAAGAACCGGAACTGTGTTAGGAATCGGAACCGGTTTTAGGGGCCGGAATCGGTTTCTATGGAAAGTTTAAAACATGCATATCTCATTCGTTTGAAGTCGGATTGGCATGAGGTTTTTTCCATAGTATATTTTATAGTTTTTACATGATTTTAGACTATAATTTGTCATTTTTGGGTTTATATTCATTCACTTATAGTCTGTCAAAGTCAAGATATCAAAGCTGGAAATTTTATGTTTTTCAGTTTTTTTTTATTTTTTATTTTTTTTATTTTTTATTTTTTTTATTTTATTATGTGATAGTTTTAAAACATGCATATCTCATTCGTTTAAAATCGGATTGACATGAGTTTTTTTTCCATAGTATAGTTTATAGTTTGTACATGATTTTAGACTATAATTTTGTCATTTTTGGGTTTATATTCATTGACTTATAGTGTCTAAAAGTTGGGATATCAAAGCTGGAAGTTTTATGTTTTTCAGCCCTTTTTATATTTAGTGATAGTTTTAAAATATGCATATCTCATTCGTTTGAAGTCAGATTGACATGAGGTTAATTCCAGAGTATAATTTATAGTTTGTACATTATTTTAGACTATAATTTTGTTATTTTTGGGTGTTTATTCATTGAATTATAGTCTCTTAGAGTCGTGATATCAAAGCTGAAAATTTTATGTTTTTCAGCTTTCTTTGTATTTCGTGATAGATTTAAAACATACATATTTGATTCGTTTGAAGTTGGAATAGCATGCGGTTTTTTCCAAAGTGTAGTATAGAGTTTGTACATGATTTAAGACTATAATTTTATCATTTTTGGTTTCATATTCATTGATTTATAGTCTCCCAAAGTTGGGATATCAAAGCTGTGAATTTTTTTTCTCAACTTTGTTTTTATATTTTGTGAGATTTTAAAACATGCATTCAACCCACTTTACCCGGTTCCCCGGGTTTTTCGATTTTAGACCCACTTTACCCGGTTTCATTCGACCCACTTTGATATTTCTGGGTTTTCCGGGTCTAGACCCACTTTACCCGGTACCAAACTGGAACCCTATATACCGGTTCGGTTTCCGGTTCTAAAAAATCTCGTTAACCGGTTCCCGTGTTTTCCGGGTCTGGGTCTACCGGTCCGGGTTTGGACCCACTCTCATCCCTACCAGTGGGGGCCAATATGCGCCTTAAGAAACGTTGGCAACCTGTGATTTGAAAGATTTCAAAATAAACTTACCCATTGGAAATCAAAAACTTTATCTTTTGGCGGGAGATTAACACTCATAAAACCAGTCCTCGAAAACCTTCCTACATACTTTATTTCTCTTTTTGCTACACCTACAAGTATAATTGACAATTTAGAAAAGCTGAGGCATCGGTTATCGTGGGGTGGTTCAGAAGATCAGTCCAAGATTTATTGGGTATCTAGGAATAAAATCATTGCTAACAAGACAACAAGGGGTCTAGGAGTTGGATCGATAAAGGCTTTCAATACTGCTTTGATCATTAAATGGTGGTGGAGGTTCAACCTGAGTCGATTTGGGCAAAAGCAATTCCAAGTATGCATAATCTGGCAGGGAAATTGGACCACATCTTTTCTTTGAAAACTCTGACTGGGGTTTGGAATAATATCGCGTGCTCGTAAAAGGATTTGGATAAATATGGAATTACTCTTGGGATGGTGCTTAAAAATCAATCAACGAATGATGGATCGGATTGGATATGTCCTCTCACAGCCACATATGTTTATCAGGTCAACACTTTGAGGAAAAAATTGGATAATTGTATTCCTGTCGATATTGGAAAATTTGAATGTGTGGAAGAGGTCCCGATTAAAGTAAATACTTTTATTTGACGTGCAAAACAAGGCCGGATTCCAACTACAAAATCCCTAGCGACAAGATGGATTAATTTGAATTCTACAACTTGTTGTCAATAATACGGTGATGCGGAGGAATCACCGGACCATGTGTTGGTTCAATGCTTGCATGCTCAAACGATATGGAAATGGATTTTAAAATGGTGTAATGTACAGCAGGCAAACTTTTTCTCAATTCATGGTGTTCTTGATTTTGCTTCAAATTGGGGTAATTGTATGAAATAAAGAAGGAGGTTGCTGGGAATATGTTATGCAACAGTTTGGAGTATTTAGAAATCACGGAATGATCGGGTGTTTAACAACAAAAGGACGCATCCATTTAAAGTGGCTGATCTTATTATTTCTACAATGTTCACTTGGGAGAAAATACAGGGGCAAAACAGAATCAATTAGATGGTCTAAATGGTTTTAAACCATTTCATTGGATTGTAATTCATCTTGTTCCATTACATTTGTTTCAATTTTTCATTGTATGTTTTTCCTAACATCTTGCTGGGGATCCCCTCTTTATTAATATATCTATTTCATTGGCTGGTTCAATATATATATATATATATATATATATATATATATATATATATATATATATATATATATATATATATATATATATATATATATATATAGGGTTAGGTTCATTTGAGACCACCTATATTTTGTGAGACCGTGAGACGCATTTTTTGATTTTTTTTTAATTTTTTTTAGTTAATTCATGTTCCGAAAATAATATT